GGTGTGTTAGTTAAGAACCATTGACAAAGGGGTGTGTTAGTTAAGAACTGATGACAAAGAATTGTGTTGGTTAAGGGCAGTGACAAAGTGTGTTAGTTAAGGAGCATTGACAAAGGGGTGTGTTAGTTAAGAGCAGTGACAAAGGGTGTGTTAGTTAAGGAGCGTGACAAAGGGGTGTGTTAGTTAAGAACTTGACAAAAGTGATTGTGTTAGTTAAGAACGGTGACAAGGGTGTGTTAGTTAAGGGCGACAAGGGGTGTGTTGGTTAAGACGGTGACAAAGGGTGTGTTAGTTAAGGGCGGTGACAAGGGAGTGTTAGTTAAAATTTGATGACAAAGTGGTGTGTTAGTTAAGGGCAGTGACCTGAAGACATTGAACAAGAGCAGTGACAAAGGGTGTGTGTTAGTTAGGGCAGTGACAAGGGTGTTAGCTAAGAGCAGTGACAAAGGTGTGTTAGTTAGGAGCATTGGCAAAATTGTCGACGAATTGAAACAGTGACAAAATTATTGATAGTTAAGAGCAGTGACAAAGGGTGTTAGTTAAGAACGATGACAAAGTGACATGTTAGTTAAGAACCCCGTGGCAAGGGTGTATGTTAGTTAAGAGACGGGCATAAAAAGGAGGTGTTAGTTAAGAACTGAAGTGACAAAGTGGTGTGTTAGTTAAGGGCGATGACAAAGGGTGTGTTGGTCAAGCGGTGACAAAGGGATTATAATGCAATTAAGGCAGTGACAAGGGGAGTGTTAGCTAAGACATTGACAAAGGGATGTGTTAGTTAAGGGCAGTGACAAGGGAATTGTGTTAGTTAAAACAGTGACAAAGGGGTGTATTGATTAAAACAGTAGCCAAAGGGTGTTGAATTAAGGAGCAGTGACAAAGGGGTGTGTTAGTTAAAACAGTGACAAGGGGTGTTAGTTAAGGGGACAGTGACAAAGGGTGTATGTTAGCTAGAGCAGTGACGAAAGTGTGTTAATTGAAACAGTGACATAGGGGTGTGTTAGTTAAGAGCAGTGACAAAGGGGTGTTAGTTAAGGGCAGTGACAAAGGGGTGTGTTAGCTAAGGGCAGTGACGAAGGGGTGTTAAAGACAGTGACAGTCAATTTAACCCGTTTAGAGTCAATTTACACGTATTATACCCAAATTTACACGTATTATACCCAATTTACACGTATTAAGACCCAATTTACACGTATTTTGACCCAATTTACAAACAGTTTATCCTCCTATTACCCGACAGCACCAAGGCTCTATGAAGGTGAGTCTAGGTGCGTGAGCTGGGGGAAGAGGCTCTGCATTTCCCAGACTCTTGAAGTTAAGGATTATGGGAACAAACAGTGGTCGTAGATTCCCAATAAACTCAATTTGTCTGAGTATTTGTGGCAGTGGTGTATACTTGAGGTGCCTTACAGGTTGCCAGGGAGGAGGAGGTTGCCATAAGGTAGAAGGGTTGCCATCGGGTGGAATATGTGTGTCTGTGTGTGTGTTTAAAAAGCCTCATCAGGACTTATGGTCTTGTTGTGGTTTCGTTAAGTCTCATCTTGATTCACTTAACGTCCCAAAGATGGCGACTAAAACAAAACGGTGACGTCGTGGTCTTTAGGGTGACGTCATATTAGTGTTCGGTTGACGTCATAGTAGTAGTGACGTCAGTGTTTGAGAGTGACGTCATAGTGTTTATGGTGACGTAATAGTGTTTTGGGTGATGTCATAGTAGTAGTGGTTGTAATTTTTATTTGCCTCCACAGTAATTAACTCACAGGTACTGATGAGGTGAGGAGACAATAATAATAATAATATACCTATATATATAACACCTATTTCTCTAATAATAATCAACAAGTTTCCTAATGAGACTTTGATTCATTAGTCTTTCGCTGATATTATTTATACAGTAATTAGTCAAGTATTATTGGTTCTGAGTATTATAGTGTTATAATGAGACCTCTTTATAACGGACTATACTGTATGGAGTGGAAATTCTGTTATATCGAGGGTCCATTAGATGAGAATCCCTCCAACTAACGGAATATGGAGAAAAGTTCGTTTTATGGAGGTTTCACTATATTTGACCTATTTTTCTCTCCTCAATAACATTCTACTGTACACTATTTTCCCAGATGTTAACTGACACACACACACACACACACACACACATACACACCCACATACATATACTGTACATACATACATACATACGCACGCACACACACACATACATATATACATGCACACATACATACATACATACACCGTTTCAATATACACTACACCGCCATGTAAGCGTCAAGGTATTGAAGCATCAGCTGTTAACCTTTTATTAATTCATGGCCACCGTCATTCATGCCACACAGGTCAGAGGTCACCAGCAGGTCATGTAGGTGGGTGAGAAGGAGAGATATTGCTTTAACCTGTCAATGTTTTTGTTTTTGTTGCTGCAGATACGGTAGTGAGAACGATCACACACACACACACACACACACACACACACACACACACACACACACACACAGTCGTTCATGCTGGGGACTTAAGGTAAAGACAAGAGGAAGGGAGATATATTCCTCCTTGGTGTGAGGCAATATGACACAATGGACGAAGGATTTTGATAACCCTACCGAGACAACAGGAGTCATAGTGTTCATATTGGAATCGACTAACTGTGAGGCTACTTTTTGTTGACCTAACTTAGGATTCATAGTTAGCTAGAGGGGTTAATTTGAGACAGTGGGATAATATTTTTTTTTGTTCCTATTTCTTCTCTTATCGCTTTTATTCCTCTCGTTTGTTCCTACTTTATCCACTTTTTTGTTCCTACTCTCTCATCTATTTTCTTTCACTTTTTCACAGCCACTTCTCTTATCTCTTGTCCATCCTACTGGTCGCCGGCAGCTGTCAGCTTACTGGTGGTCTGAGGTGATTAGAAGGGACTCCTCTCTCTCTCTCTCTCTCTCTCTCTCTCTCTCTCTCTCTCTCTCTCTCTCTCTCTCTATCTCACTTCTCCCCTCCTCTCACTCCCATCTTCTCTCTCTCACAATCCCCCTGTCTCTACCTCCGTCAGCAGATGTGTAAGTCAGCAAGTTTATGTGTCAGGAGGTGTGTATGTCAGCAGGTGTCTCGTCGTCAGTCAGGGATGTCAGGATATGTTGTGATACGTAAGGTGATCCAAGAGGATTTACTCCCTACCTCACTCACCTCATCACGAGATATACTCTTCTTTTTCTTCTTCTCCTTTTTCTTCTTTTTGTTCTTCTTCCTTTTATTCTTCTTCTTTTTGCTCTTCTTCCTCTTGTTCTTCTTTTTGTTCTTCTTCCTCTTGTTCTTCTTTTTGTTCTTCTTCCTCTTGTTCTTCTTCCTCTTGTTCTTCTTCCTCTTGTTCTTCTTCCTCTTGTTCTTCTTCCTCTTGTTCTTCTTCCTCTTGTTCTTCTTCCTCTTGTTCTTATTCTTCTTGTTCTTCTTCCTCTTGTTCTTCTTCCTCTTGTTCTTCTTCTCTTGTTCTTCTAACTATCTTGTTTCTTCTTCCTCTTGTTCTTCTTCCTCGTTGTTCTTCTTCCTCTTGTTCTTCTTCCTCTTGTTCTTCTTCCTCTTGTTCTTCTTCTTCTTGTTCTTCTTCCTCTTGTTCTTCTTCCTCTTGTTCTTCTTCCTCTTGTTCTTCTTCCTCTTGTTCTTCTTCCTCTTCTTCTTGTCCTCCTCCTCCTTTCTTTTTCTTCTCTTTCTTCTTCCTCCACTTCGTGTTCTTCTTTTTCTTCCTCTTCCTTGAGTACGTTGTAAACCCCTTGAGTACAATGTAAACCCATGATTACAATATAAACACCTTGAGTACAATGTAAACCCCTTGAGTACAATATAACAGGAGTAGTACACAACAGGTGAACCTCCGTTAATAATTATACTTCATGATGATAATTTAAATAATTCCTATAATTCCCTCCTCTCACCCGGTGTCTAATTATTAACTCACAAATAAATAGAATTAATCCCGTGGAATAATCGCCGTAACTAGTATTAATAACTCAAATAGCAGACTAAATAGCTCTTGATGCATCGAGATTGAGAGTAAATTGGAGAAACGTTCAGAGGGAAGAAGAAAATTTAGACCCTGAATTAAAATTAGAATCTAATTTGTAGTCTTTGTCTGAATGAGTTATATACGTCGCTGAGGTAAATATTTAGAGTGTTATTCTTTTCTCTTTGTCAGAATTGAGTTTGTTTATTTATTTTTTACAATAGGAGTTACTAAAACGAGAAATACATTATGTGATTTGTGTTTATTTACTTTGAACGAGTGTATACAGTTAACGTGTATATATATATTTTAGTATTAGTTTCATAGTTACTGTAGGTGATGGGAAACAATATTTATTGGATTGTAATATATTCTTTCTCAGTGAGGTATTAATGTATCTTTCTCATTACAGGAGGAGGTGAGGAATGTGTCGGAGAGTATATACAGTTACTAAGACACACTTGACCTGAAGGAACCTATTGACTTCTAAGGATCTCTCAGAGGGACGTTGTAACAGACGGAAGTAACCAATACAAGTTGAAGTCACTACCTTATAACCAATGAGGATATATTTTACTCTTTGTGGCCGGATGGAAGAGCAAAGATAGCCGGATACGTAGAACCAGTGACGTGAGTGATAAGACCTGGCAGGAAAGTGGACCAGTGACGTGTTTAAAGTGATCATAAAGGCATTGATACTCCCTGATGTAGTCACGTCATCAAGGGTTCCAATACTCTTGTTATTCATTACGGTCTTTTTTTTATATTTCAACTCCGGCAACTGACTAAACTATAGAGTTGTATAAATTCCATAAAGAATTTTCATGCTCATAAAAATAAAAGAACATCACATCCGGCGGCGAGTTTGAAACAAAAGACTATCTAATGGTTCGTAGATGTTATACTTTTATTAGAACAGAAGCAGGAGAGTGTTGTTAATAATTCTGTTGATTATTCTTAGCCTTGGAACTGCTTAAGACTTTGTTTATAAGACAGTAAGTATCTCTAGCTTGGTTGTGCTGCCAGAACAACAACAATAACAAAAAGCAATGAGACGTAAATTAATCAACATGGCTTTTAACCTCAGCAAAAACTTCGATCACGAGACCGAGGAAACATTCTCGTCTTTCCGCGAGGACGAGCCGGCCCAGGACTCGGCCCTCCTTAAGACGTCCCTGGAAAGTCCCTACGCTGAGGGCCAGGACCTGGCCTCGACCATACGCTTCTTGGCTTCGCGGGGTGGCATGGATGAACCAGTCCTCCAGATGGACATTCTCGAGGACAATGTCAACGAGACGCTGCTCAATGTTTCGTCGGGGCCGTACAACGAGACCAAAGACGTGCTGGAGGGCCTGGTGAAGATGCCCCCGGAGATGTTGTTCAACTCGTCCCACGTCATCACCATCAGCGCCTACTCCTGCCTCATGGTCCTCTCCGCCCTCGGCAACATCTCAGTCCTCAGGTCCATCGCTGGGTGAGTCTTAAGCGTCTCTACGAGTAACAGTGATGCCTGGTTGAGTCTATGGCCTGAGTCAGTGGTTACAGTGATGCGTGGTTGAGTCTATGGCCTGAGTCAGTGGTTACAGTGATGCCTGGTTGAGTCTATGGCCTGAGTCAGTGGTTACAGTGATGCCTGGTTGAGTCTATGGCCTGAGTCAGTGGTTACAGTGATGCCTGGTTGAGTCTATGGCCCGAGTCAGTGGTTACAGTGATGCCTGGTTGAGTCTATGGCCCGAGTCAGTGGTTACAGTGATGCCTGGTTGAGTCTATGTTGAGTCAGTGGTTCAGTGATGCCTGGTTGAGTCTATGGCCCGAGTCAGTGGTTACAGTGATGGTTGAGTCTATGGCTGGCTGAGTCTATGGCCTGAGTCAGTGAGTTAGTGATGCAGTCTATGGCCTGGAAGTGATGCAGTCTATGGGAGTTGGTTACAGTGATGCCTGGTTGAGTCTATGGCCCGAGTCGAGTGGTTTACAGTGATGCCTGGTTGAGTCTATGGCCTGGAGTCAGTGGTTACAGTGATGCCTGGTTGAGTCTATGGCCGAGTCAGTGGTTACAGTCAGTGGCCCGAGTCAGTGGTTACAGTGATGCCTGGTTGAGTCTATGGCCCGAGTCAGTGGTTACAGTGATGCCTGGTTGAGTCTATGGCCCGAGTCAGTGGTTACAGTGATGCCTGGTTGAGTCTATGGCCCGAGTCAGTGGTTACAGTGATGCCTGGTTGAGTCTATGGCCTGAGTCAGTGGTTACAGTGATGCCTGGTTGAGTCTATACGAGTCATTGGGTAACAGGGTGCATGGTGTGGATGAGTCTCAGGGAAGAGTCTGAGAGATTGAGTCTATTCTGTGATTTTTATAGTTAAGTCCATCTGGTATATTCATTTCAGAATCTATGAGTCACATTATATAACTGAGTAGATTAGGAGAGTTCTATAGCTGACTCTACAAGGAGGCTTTCCAAGTCTACAGGTAGGGGTGGGGGGAGGAGGGAAGGGAGAGAGGGGAGTAATGGAAGGGGAGGATGGAGAGGGAGGGGGAAGGGGAAGGGAAGGGGGGAAGAGGGAAGGAGGGAAACTACGATGGGGTATAAAAGGATAAATCCAAATAATATCGTCCTAATAAGGTAGCTGACCCTCACTCAAGGATGACCTCACCAACAACATCTCCTCAAGTAGGTCGCTAAGTGTCTCATCATATAGACTGTGTTTGCCTCCGAGACGCTCATTACCCCTCAGCTGTTCGATTCCTTGACCCCCTCACGGTCATGGTTTCATACTGAGTCGACCACATACTGAATTATTTGTACAGTCTACCCACAAAAGTCCTATCGCCTCTCCTCCTGAACCACGAACCCCGGGATTCAGATTCACGAACCCAAAGCAGTAGATAGTGATGTATTAGTCTATCCATAAATGTTTCGGGTTCACGACTCTGAATCTCGGGGTTCGTGGTTCAGGAGGAGAGGCGGCGGGAGTTCTTGTGGGTGAGTGTACATTACATTCCCTGGTGGTGTCTGGGTGTGTGAATGTCTCTATTGTGTTCCTGTGATAAACACCTGTGAACCGATACACCTGGAGTAGAGGATAAGACTCATGTAAGGTAATAATATTTCACACAACACAAGCATAACATTCAACATACCGTACACACACACACACACACACACACACACACATAACTTCTCCACAATGCACAAATGGAAGACTGAACACATTATGACTTTACTCTTCCTTCATTTGTGTCAAGCGTCTGGGAACAGTTAGGAAGTTTTCCAATCTGTCTCCTCAAGTGGGGACTATATAGCTACTTGAAGACAGAAGTTAGTGGGGTCGTCACAACAGAGTATAAACTTCCTGTATCGCAAGACAGAGACACTGAACTTCTGACGGGGGGTTACTGGGGGTCCGGGTACTTCTCTTGGGGTGGTGTTATCTCCTCTTAACACCTTCTGCTGTAGCCTCTCTAGATCCCCGAGTCGTAATGAATCTGACTAAATCTTGGTGTAGTGATCGAGTCTGTCTGTCTGTCTTTCTGTCTGTCTGTTTGTTTGTTTGTTGGTAGTCTGGCCTCCACACTGTACTGTTTTAATTAATATCATATATGGGTCAAAATCCACTAAAATACGCACAGTTTTCATCCCATCGTTACTAACACATTAACAGCTCGTTGGTCACAGTCGAGAAATTACTCTACACAATTTTGATGGACATGGTTGAGAGGTCCTTCCCTACTCCCACACCCTACACCCCTCCCTCACACCCCTCCCCTTCCCACACACCCCCCACACCCCAATGATATTAACACTCACAGTAGTCAATATTTAACACATATACAGTATCACTTATTATATATTATCATTATTAACATCATTATTATTACTATACACTCAGGTACACTTGATTAATTTTCGTATTGTAAAATATATCCTTTTACTTCATCTAGGATAAAAGGTTACGGACGTGAATCAAAGTTTATGGACGTGAATAAAAGCTTACGGACGTGAATCAAAGTTTACGGACGTGAATAAAAGCTTACGGACGTGAATAAAAGCTTACGGACGTGAATAAAAGGTTACGGACGCGATTAAAAGCTTACGGACGTGAATCAAAGCTTATGGACGAGAATAAAAGCTTACGGACGTGAATAAAAGCTTACGGACGTGATTCTGGACCCAGTTTCTGCAAATGGTAAATGAAAGAAATATATTTATTATCGTAGCTTGACCAATTCCAGGTTATTTCAATATCTCTTGTTGGAAATATATATAAAAAAGCTTACTGATGAGTTACATTTCTATATTAAATTTATTTCTTTGAAGTTTATTTGTAAAAGGACTTAATGGAAATGTTTGTATGTCCATAACATAAATCATTTTAACAACGAATTAATCTGAGGACTAGACATTTCAGCTTATTTCACCTGATGATTAAACACCTGTACGCTAATTGGATGGGTATAAGGTGAGATTGGGGTTAGGTTAGGTTAGGTCGTATTAGGTTAGAGTATAGAGTCGTGAGAAATAGGTAAAGGTGCATGTGCGTGTAGTATGTATGTCTGTCTGTGTATGTGTGGCGGCAAAAGACCCTCCTCCCTATAGTCCAGTGTTGATGGGAACAGTATTGACACAGGGAATGGGGAGGGGAGCACAGGGAGTGGGGATGGGAGCACAGGGAGTGGGGAGGGGAGCACAGGGAGTGGGATGGGAGCACAGGGAGTGGGGAGGCGATCACAGGGAATGGGAAAGGGAGCGAATTGTGATACATTGAATCTCTGAATTAAAACACGCATGAGGAGGAGGAGGAGGAGGAAGAGAAAGAGGGGAAGAAGGAGGAGGAGGAGGAGGAGGAGGAGGGGGGGGGACAGGGAAATGAGAAACACAGAAACAAAGAAACGCAAGAGCAATCAACATATCACGCAACAAGAAGCAAAAAAAAAGACGCAACACGAAGCAACAAATGACGCAACATCTTAAAGAGAGGAATGAAAACCTAGAATCTTTAGCCAAGGAACTAGAAAAAAAAATAATAATATACCCATCTTATTCTCGTTGTTGACAGTACTCGTAATATTCCTGAAGACCTGAGAATACTCGACGACGCTAAGGGAAATATTTACTTTGTACCTGCGTGTGTGTTTAAGGCAGGTAGATAATGAACAGGTGTGTGTAGTGGTGTGTAGTGGTGTGTAGTGGTGTATTGGTGAAAGAAAACGTAAGAAGCCAATTTTCCTGGAGACTGAAGAAAACTGTATTCAAGGGAGGAGAATAAAGGGAGGAGATAAAGTGGAGGAGATTAGGGTAGGAGACCGAGGGTAGGAGACAATGGAATAGATAAAAGGGAGGAGATTAGGGGGAGACTAGGGTAGGAGACCAAGGTGTAGGAGACATGGGTGGGAGAACAATAAGGAGAGAGGAGACCAAAGGTAGAGAACAGGAAAAGGAGGTCCCCTGTAAGCTTATATATGATTAGAGAGAGAGAGAGAGAGAGAGAGAGAGAGAGAGAGAGAGAGAGAGAGAGAGAGAGAGAGAGACGAAAAATGAAAAGAGGACAAAAAAAGAGGAAGAAACCAAAGAGGAAGAAGAGAGAAAGGGGAGAGGGAAAGGCAGAGTTGGTGAGCGGGGGAAGAGGAAGAAAGGAAGCAAGGAAGGAAGGAAGAGAGAAGGAGGGAGGGAAGGCAGAGAGTCGAGAAGGAGGATAGAAGGAGCTTATGTTTTTCTTTAGGCTAATGAGTTACCTGGGCTGTGGAGGCCAACGACCTTATGTTGTGTAAATGCTGTGTAAATATTGTGTAAATGCTGTGTAAATATTGTGTAAATGCTGTGTAAATGTTGTGTAAATGCTGTGTAAATAGTGTGTAAATATTGTGTAAATAGTGTGTAAATATTGTGTAAATGCTGTGTAAATATTGTGTAAATGCTGTGTAAATAGTGTGTAAATATTGTGTAAATAGTGTGTAAATATTGTGTAAATGCTGTGTAAATGTTGTGTAAATGTTGTGTAAATGTTGTGTAAATGTTGTGTAAATGTTGTGTAAATATTGTGTAAAAGCTGTGTAAATATTGTGTAAATAGTGTGTAAATATTGTGTAAATGTTGTGTAACTGTTGTGTAAATACTGTATAATTGTTGTGAAAATGTGTAAATTCTGTGCAAATGTTATGTAAATGCTGTCTAAATGCTTTCTAAATACTCTGTAAACGTGTAAATGATGTGTAAATGATGTGTAAATCGCTGTGTACTTCCCTCCACAGAACCACCCTGAAGAGTGCTTGAGAATGTATACCTGTGTGAAGCGAAGTCTACCTTAATTAATGGTTAATTAATTATAACCTCCAGGTGTTGATTAACCACTTGAAATATTTACTGATAATACTACAGGTGTTTATATCAAATATGTGTGCGTGGGCGTCTGTCTGCGTCTGCGTATGTGTGTATGTGTGTGTGTGTGTGTGTGTGTGTGTGTGTGTGTGTGTGTGTGTGTGTGTGTACTAACTCTCCCTCATACTCTTCCAGGCACAGGTCGAGGACGTTGGCTTCCCGAGTGACTCTTATGATCCTACACCTGACCATCGCTGATCTCCTCGTCACCTTTCTCCTCATGCCCTTAGAGGTAGGTCCTGGAGAGAGAGAGAGAGAGAGAGAGAGAGAGAGAGAGAGAGAGAGAGAGAGAGAGAGAGAGAGAGAGAGAGAGAGGCCCTCCTCCTCCTCCTTGAAGTAGATTATACGAGAAGGAGTGGAGATGGGAGGGAAATTGAAGTGAATGGTATATAAGACAATAATTAGACAGGTGTTGAGGAGGTAGAGGAGGAGGAGGGAGGAGGAGCGGGAGGAGGGGAAAAGGAGGAGGAGGAGGAGGAGGAGGAGAAAGAAGAGAAGAGGAGGAGAAGTAGTCGTTGTTGTCCCATGCACGTTTTTCCACACACTAACTACAAACACCAACACACTCTAACTACAAACACCAACACACACTAACTACAAACACCAACACACTCTAACTACAAACACCAACACACACTAACTACAAACACCAACACACACTAACTACAAACACCAACACACTCTAACTACAAACACCAACACACTCTAACTCCAAACACCAACACACTCTAACTACAAACACCAACACACTCTAACTACAAACACCAACACACTCTAACTCCAAACACCAACAAACTCTAACTACAAACACCAACGCACTCTTAACTCCAAACACCAACGCACTCTTAACTCCAAACACCAACACACTCTAACCTAACCACACTCACTCGTAACTTCAAACTCAACTTTGTTTCTTCCCAACAACACTCTTGTAACTCACTCAAGACAAGTTTACAGCCCACGAGTCTCAAGATGAACTCTACCGTGACCAGGTAAACAGAGATGATGTCACAAGGTAAACTCAGGTGACGTCACATGGTAAGCACAGGTGATGTCACAAGGTAAGCACAGGTGACGTCACAAGGTAAACTCAGGTGACGTCACAAGGTAAACACTATCATCTACCGTTTCCCAGGAGTTGTTTGCCAGATACTGTTTACGATTAATCTGTGGGAAAGATTGTGTGTGTGTGTATAGGTTCTGTCCAGGAATAAATTGGTGTAATTTTCCTATTCTGTGAGATTTGAAGGTTGAAAACGGTGTGTAATAGGCAGAGGGGAAGGTCAAGTGCTGTGTTTGGAGACTATTAGGTAATATGAGAGCTATTTATATCATTTGCTGCCTATTTAAACTAAGTATACCTAACCTAACCTAACCTCCATTCACTGGAGGTTTGTGAAACTCGTATGGTAATTGGGTTAAAATAAGCATCGTTATTAACTTCTTGTATAATACGTTCTCTTTGATGATCTACTTACTAGGATTAAATTTACCTTAAGATTATAATTATATACCTGTTTTTTAATTAGTATCTGTTACCTGCGTTACATTTTCTATGAGTTTGATAATTATGTAAAAGAAATATCACTTTTTTCGAATTTTTTCTTCTCGTTCTGTACAATTTGTTGTTATTTTTGGTGTCTTATCCCCTTCACTACAGGACGCCATTTTAATTATTTTATTTAACCAACAACAAACAATTTTAATCAGCTTACAGGTGCCCTGTACACGAGAGATTTACCAAGTACTTGTATAAATTCTCCCCAACGCATAAAAATGGCAAGTTTTCATATATAATTAAAATCCTGTATAAAAAATAAGATATAATATTTCACGAAGGTCTGTATTGATTTTAGATATGTAGGTGCTGTAAGAACCTAACCTAACCAGAGGGAGGGTTTTATCATCTCCAAATACGACTTTGAGGTGAATATGAAAATTATATTAACATATTCTTGAGTGTTTACATAAGCTTCTCTCCTCTCTCTCTACCCCCCATTGTCTCCTTGTCTCCCTCCTCCTCCCCCAGATCGGGTGGGCGTGGACGGTGTCGTGGGAGGCGGGAGATATAGCGTGTCGCATCCTCGCTTTCTTCAGGACCTTCGGGGTGTTCCTCAGCGGGTTCCTGCTGGTGGCCATCAGTGTGGACAGGTACTACGCGGTACTACGGCCTCTCACAGTCATGGAGGCCAAGAGGAGGGTGAGGCTCATGCTGTGGGGAGCCTGGGGAGCCTCTGGAGTCTGTTCTATACCCCAGGTAGGTGAAAGTGTCCCCACCCTTCCCACTTAGACTGAATTTCCCGATTCATCTCCACACACACACACACACACACACACACACACACACACTCACACACACACACACACACACATACTTGTCGTCTGCTGAAAGTTGAAAGGTGTCCTAAATTGTCTTTGTTTTTTTTACTTTTAATTTTGTTATTTATTCTGTGAAGGTTTAATGATGTTATTTCTTGTGTAAATAAGAGATAAATTTAACTCCTCTCTCTCTCTCTCTCTCTCTTCTGCCTCCTTCCTCCCCCTTTCTTCTTTTCCCTCTCTCCCGTTCCTTTCTCGACTTATCCCCTCACTGTCTCTATTTCCTCCCCCTTTCCTTTCTCTCTACTTCCTTCTCTCCTCTTCTTTTTTATCATTCATCACTCTCACCCTCTCCCCACCACCACTAACCACCCCTCTTCTCTCCCCCCACCACCACTAACCCACCCCTCCTTCTCTCCCCACCACCACTAACACCCCTCTTCTCTCCCACCACCACCACCCCCCTCTTCTCTCCCACCACCACCACTAACCACCCCTCTTCTCTCCCCCACACAGACGTTAATCTTCCACGTAGAGAGTCACCCAGATCACCCGTGGTTTGAGCAGTGTGTCACCTTCCATAGCTTCCCTTCCCCGACCTACGAGCTCTTGTATAACGTGGCCGGGTTCCTAGCCATGTACGCCATCCCTCTCCTCACCATTATCTTTTGCTACGGCTCAATCGTCATCGTACTCTACAGGAAAGATGGTGAGTTGTGTTGTAGTTGTTAGTAGTTTGATTATTATTATTATTTTTTGCTTTTTTATGATGACGGCAGATTGTTTGCGCCTCTGTTATTAGTATTTTTATTTATATGTTAGAAGTTGTCAAGGGAAAATTTACCCAGAATCGTATATAAAAAGAAAATATTTATAATTTGTTTTTGTTTTTCCGGCGGTCTGTTGTATTTTTGAAGTAAAGTTGAGAAAAAAAGTTTAAAAGTTCTCTATTGTGTGAAAGTAGGTCTCTCATCTCTCACGTCTAAAGAAGATTTTTTTTTTCACTTGGCGTTTCTGAGTAATTTGAGCTCCAGAAATAATTATATATTCTTGAGGTCAAAGACTTTTCCGGTTTTTGTTTTGTGTGTAGTTTCTATTCCTGTGACCTTGCTATGACCCCTTGTGGTCTTATATGACTCCTTATGACCTTATATGACCCCTTGTGACCTAATATGACCCCGTGTGACCTTATATGACCTCTTGTGAACTTATATGACCCCTTGTGACCATACATGACCAATTGTGACCTTATTTGACCTCTGGTAGGTAGTTTACGAACGTTGTTGAGTCTTTAAACCTTCTCCAACGTCAATACATATTGCCCTAATATGACCCCTTGTGTGGTAGGTCATTCTATACATTTACCCCAATATAAACTCCCCAATGACGTAACCTGACCTAACCTAATATACAGCTCCAATGACCTAACATAACCTGGTGACCTTGTTGACCTCCGGTAGTGAGTTCGCGGGAGGCGGGGGAGGAGAGGTACGGGCCCTCGCTGGGACGCACCAAGACCCGCACACTGCACATGACTCTTATCATCGTCACAGTCTTCTTCCTCTGCTGGACCCCTTATAACATCATGAGTCTCTGGTGAGTATTATGAGTCTTTGATGAGTCTCTGGTGAGTATTATGAGTCTATTGTGAGTCTGTGGTGTGTCTTGTGAGTCTGGGGTGTGTCTTGTGAGTCTCTGGTGAGTATTGTGAGTCTGGGGTGTGTCTTGTGAGTCTCTGGTGAATCTTGTGAGTCTATGGTGAGGCTCGTGAGTCTCTGGTGAGTATATCGTGAGCCTTGTGAGAATACCGTGAGTCTATGATAAATCTCTTCTGAGTTTTGTCTGGAAATCTGTAGTAATTCAAACTCTCTTATTTTTTTTAAAACTCCACCGAGTCAATGCTCTTCTGTTTTGTCTTCTGTTGACCTTTTAGTCTGTCTGTCTGTGTCTGTCTGTCTGTGTCTGTCTGTCTCTTTCTTCCTCTCTCTTGCTTCACTATCCTCCTTTTCCTCTCACCTCCCTCCAATTTTTCCTTTGTTCCTCCTTATCTCCCTCTCTCACTTTCTCTCCTCTCCACTTTTTCATATGTATCATCGCCCTTCCTCCCTCCTCCTCATTCTCTTCCCACTCCCTCCCTCTCTCCCCACTCCTCTTATCTTGCTACAGAACCCCGCCATATTGTAAATTAACACCATAATGTAAACTCTATATAAAGTTAAGAACGTCTCCAACGCCTCCCTACTCCCTCTCATTCTATCTAGTTCCCCCCACCCCCCCTTCCCCTTCAACCCCACTCTTCTCTTCCACAGTTCCCCCCACCCCCCCTTCCCCTTCACCTCTTCTCTTCCACAGTTCCCCCCACCCCTCTTCCCCTTCCTCACCTCTCTCTTCTTCAGTTCTTCCACACTCGGTAGAAGAAAATGTTACACTTTCGCAGGACTAACTAAGATAATAAGTCGTCAATATTTTCCTGGCGTCAGAGATAACATAAATAGCAGTGTAATTATTCTCCTCTGTGTGTGTGTGTCTGTGTGTGTCTGTGTGTGTGTGTGTGTGTGTATTTTATATAAACATTATTACACACTTTTCGCTCTGATGTTAATATAATCTGGGGTCTGGAGGCAATAGCTTATAATATAATCTCCCAGGTCAGAAGTTTCCGAGAGAGAGAGAGAGAGAGAGAGAGAGAGAGAGAGAGAGAGAGAGAGAGGCAACATTTTGAGACCGTATGAGAAAAGGTTTCCAATATCTGGGGAGAAATGAGAAGGAGGAGGGGAAGAAGAGGAAGAAGGAGGAGGTGCAGTAAGGGAGGTAAGGCAAGATCCTCCTATGGTCATCAAAGAAGCTCCAGGAACTGTCGTCTTACGAGCTCATGAATACATTAATAAGATTCATTCAATATTAACATAGAAAACGATATTTGGTGCACTAAATGTGTTCACAGAAAACGGGATCCTACAAGAGTATAGAAAATGTGCTGTTGGTGTTGAAGAAATGCAACACAACTCATGGGGGCATAATGCAACATAATGACATGGGGCTACAATGCAACACAATGTCATGACGCCACAATGCAACACAGGATCAAGGGTTACAATGCAACACAAGGTTATGGGACCACAATGCAACACAAGGTCATGGGGCCACAATGCAACACAAGGTCATGGGACCACAATGCAACACAAGATCGAGAGCCACAATGCAACACAACACATAGGACCACAATGTAACACAACCTTGAATCAAATACATTTACACATTGTTGAAACGTCAGGAGGAAATGAAAGGTCCAGAGAAGCTAATGCAGAGGAAGCAACACCTATCTGCTGTGGGGGGTGGGGGGGGGTGGGGATTTGGGACAATTAATACTGACGGAGGAGGAACATGGAAGACGATACACTCCCCCAGAGGTTCATTTACCTCTCACGCCGGTGGAAGACGACCCACAAGGACATGCCATCCTGAGTAGTGGTCCACAAATGTACCCTAGAAGGTCTTTTGTGATTCACTTACACACTTTGTTGACTGATTCTCCGTTCTGAAGGCTCTCTCTCTCTCTCTCTCTCTCTCTCTCTCTCTCTCTCTCTCTCTCTCTCTCTCACTTGTCGGGTGGTTGATATTCACCTTTCTTTTGAATTATGAGAAAAAACCCATGACCCCCACATCACAACCCATGATCTCCTACCACAATTCATTAACAGTCCGTACATCCCATGATTTCCAGTACAACCCATGCCTATTCTCACAACCCATGCCTATTCTCACAACCCATGCCTATTCTCACAACCCATGCCTATTCTCATAACCCATGCCTATTCTCACAACCCATGCCTATTCTCACAACCCATGGCTATTCTCACAACCCATGGCTATTCTCACAACCCATGCCTATTCTCACAACCCATGCCTATTCTCACAACCCATGGCTATTCTCACAACCCATGCCTATTCTCACAACCCATGCCTATTCTCACAACCCATGGCTATTCTCACAACCCATGGCCATCATCACAGCCACACTACCCAACAGGAGTTCACCTGAGGACGTCTGTGGTGGAAGAGGTAATGAGGCAGCAGGAGAGGTGGTGGGAATGAGAAATGAGAATGAAGTAAGCAGGAACGGGAATGGGAATCATCTGGGCCTGGAGAATGAGGGGGGGTTAGGAGGAAGGAGGAAGAGGAGGAGGAGGGGGAGGAGGAGGTAGAAGGAGGCTTAATGGGACGTAGACTAGATTAGGAATAATTTGCTAAGGTGTTGGTAGAGATCTTCAAGCCAGCCTCTCTCTCTCTCTCTCTCTCTCTCTCTCTCTCTCTCTCTTCTCCACACCTCGTCGGCCACGTCATCGTCTGGAGAGAGAGTTGGGGGGTGGGTGAGATAAAGAGGAGAAAGGAAGAGAGAAGAGGAGGAAGGTAAGGTATCAGGCAAGGAAGACGAGGAAGTCGATAGATGGTGAATTGTGCTCCTGCCTCGCCTTCGTCAGGTGGTTCTTCATTCGTTGTCTTTGATGACTATACACAACTTTAATATTCACACACACACACACACACACACACACACACACACACACACACACACACACACACATTGATCTAGAACTATTAGAGCTAAACAATTCCACCATTAAACTGCTTTAGATTAAACAAAGGTAAGGGTAATGACCTCATCAACAGGAACATCAGGTAACAATTAGTAAGATTATAGAAGGAGATAAAAACTACACCGAGGAAACAACTCCTTTGTCCATAGTCTCAAAGGTGTCGAACGATGGTAAATTTCTCGTAATTAAATATCACAAAGTAACTGTGAAATATTTATCTACCTGTAGTATCCTTAAGACTGGCTGTTATTGGTCTTTAAGGCCATTCGAGGAGTTTTAATACAATGTAAACAAACACAGTAGTGCCACATCTCACAAAATGCCCCAGTTACTGTACCAGGTAGAAGTGCAGGCGACTGGTTGACTTAAGGTAAGGCACAACTTAAACGTTTGAGAATAACATAGACTTGAGATTCTACCTTACGATATTATGGTGAATAAACTTTGATACGAGTTTCTGCTTTAATTAAACTGATTAGGTGTGGAAGGAACGTAGGTAAAGAGTTAACACAGACAGACAGACGCAGACAGACAGACAGACAGATAGACAGAGAGACAGACAGACAGACAGATAGAAAGACAGACAGACAGACAGATAGACAGATAAAGTGAGCTAGACAGGTGGTTCCCTCTTCAAGAATAAACTATTAACTAGACTCGTCTTGGAGAGCCTGGACCAAGGTGTATTGTTAGTGGTGCAGAGAAAAGCTTTTACGGAGATAAAACTTATTCATAGCACGGCTGGTGTGTGTGTGTGTGTGTGTGTGTGTGTGTGTGTGTGTGTGTGTGTGTGGAGAGAGAGAGAGAGAGAAAGAACCAGCTGAACACTTTATCGATTAAGACCCTCGGGATGCGTAGAGAGAAATAAGAGAAAATGAGAGAAATGTTGTTGAGGAAATGAAATGGAGACGATGATGAGAATGAGAGCGGCTTTTATTGGCCTGGTGAGAGAGAGAGAAAGAGAGAGAGAGAGAGAGAGAGAGAGAGAGAGAGAGAGAGCCAACCAATTCTGCTCTCTCTCTGTCTCTATCTATCTAATCTCTATCTATCTATCCACCTAATCTATCCACTTATCTATCTCCCCCCTACAGGTACTTCATAGACAGACAGAGCGCCCAGTTAGTTGACCCCAGGGTACAGGCATCACTCTTCATCTTCGCCGTGGCCAACTCTACAGTCAATCCTCTCGTCTATGGTTACTTCAATGTCCGGCGCAGCCCTAAGAACGCCAATCCCAGGCAAGAATGGCGTATGAAGCGGATAGTCTACAAGCCTCCGTAAGGGATAGAGGGAGGGTGGGTGGGTAGGTAGGTGGATGGGGGTGGGGTTGATGGTGTGGGTAGGAGAGTTGGTGGGATAGGTGAAAAAGGGAGATAAGATGGGATAGAAAGGTATGGGAAGGTTAGTGGAAGAGGTGGGAGGGGTGAAGGGGTAGTGAGAGAGGCAAATCATTACATAAAAAAACATTGAGACAAACAGACGGAAAGAAAGACAGACAGATACAGAGACAGACAGGTTCATAGACAGACAGATACACAGACAGACAGGTTCATAGATAAACAAGCAATTAGTCAAAAGAGAATCATAGTTGAAAAGAAACACAGACAGACAGACAGACAGATAGACAGACAGACAGACAGACAGATAAAAGCACTCTAACATGTATAATTCGTGTTCTCATCCTCACAGGTTCCGTCAGCACTTGAGAGGTTGTGTGTGTAGCCCAGCCAAGAGTTCCTCCAGTGACCTGCCCTGCCATCAACCTACTCACCTACCCAATGGCTACCGAGCTCGCTACCCCCTCCACGTACACCCACACCACTATCCTAATGTGTAGGTTCAGTATCACTCCACCCACACTACTACTACTACTACTACTACTACTACTACTACCCCTCCACCACTACTACTACTACTACTACCCCTCCACCACTACTACTACTACTACTACTACCCCTCCACCACTACTACTACTACTACCTACTACCACACTACACTACACCACTACCCCCTACAACCCCCACCACTACTACTACCCCTTACATCCACACCACTACCCCTTACATCCACACCACTACCCCTAACATCCACACCACTACCCCTTACATCCACACCCATTACCCCGGCGCCTACACCATCAGCGTTAAGCTCACACAGACACTAAGTTCCATCAAGGTGTTACATGGACGAACGAGGAGACGAAACAGTGTGTGTGTCGTCCCTCTGGTTATGACTCGTCTTCAGTACCAGGATGACGACCAAAATATTACATGAAACTTTCTGTCTGTGTCGCTGAAAGATGAAACTTTTAGATGTTGGTGTTAAATTATACGTGAGAAATGTAAAGCTTAGTGGAAAAAAATAAAACTTGGATTTATCTTTTAAGAAATGTAAAGGCCGTGGAAGTGCTGGTGGATAGTATAACATTACAGTAAAGTCATCCAGGGCGTGTAAGACCCGAGGTGTCGCCAAGTTTTAGATAAAATTCCTTCGACTTTTATGGAAGGTGTAAGGGGAGAATGTGTGTGTGTGCTCTGCCAAAAAAAAAAAAAATAGAAAATGACAAATATTATCTCGATTTTACGGTAAAGTTCACAGCGACGCCATACTGAGAGGGACTATAGCTTCCTGTGTGAATTTTTATCTCAAGGTTCAAGGATCTTAGAGGGTGAGATATTACTTCCTGTGATATTTCTCAGTTCTTTCTCACGCCTTAGAGAAATGACCAACACCAGCGTGCATCTTTTCAAGTGTTAACCTCTAGGGTGAAGGAGGTGGTCAAGCCACTGTTACTGAAGGCCAAGGAGCAAGGAGTCACTGTGTGTGTGTGTGTGTGTGTGGGGTTATAAGTTAAGACGATATCTCCCTCACATAAAGATCTTGATCATGTTACACGTCAGCACCATCACTCATGTCTGTATGTGTGTTAGTCACGACAGGTCTAGTGATGTCCCAAGCGTACATCATAAACACTGCAGGATTTCTCTCGATATAAACTAGATAATCAAAAGTAACAGACCTCTTGACACACTCCAAAATATATCAAACTTTCTATAATATAAAAACTACCAGAGGAATTCCCGGAAACAAACACTTGAGGTAAGCACCCAGGCAGATACATGGTGCTAATAGTGTCGTAGTGTCACCATCAGCAACAAACAATACAATATTATGTTTGTGTCTGACAGTAGAATCAGATGATAATGATACAAACGTAAAGGAAACTTGATATATTATATTTACCTAATGGCCACCAACTAGAGGTATGTGTATGGCCGTGTGTGTGTTTTTAAAGATTATTTCACGTATTATAACAATAAAAAATATAAACACGCTCAATATATATGGTAAGAGTGTGACGCGTGAGATCTCAAGGTGTCTTAAATGGATTCAGAATCTCTTAAAGGGGTTCAGAACCTCTTAAAGGGATTCAGAACCTCTTAAAGGGTATCAACCAGAGAGAGGTGTTAGTGTGACCAGCTGGTGAAGGTGTCTCTTCCTTTGAGTGTGTGTGTGTGTTGTGGCTCACGTCTATGTCTCAGAGATGGTAAGAGGATTTTGCAAACACACACACACACACACACACACACACACTCACACACACACACACACACACACACACACACCACAAATTACCTCACACATCCTCAACTTTCTCTCTCTAACCAACTTTCTTTTTCGTCTTTCAAAACAATAATTCCCTCTTGTGTTGTTACGACTGTGGTGGCGGGTGGCACACAATGAGCCACACCAATCGTACTTATGAACGGGATACACCTCAAGGAAAATGTTTCAGATCTGCTCTTCGATAACAGACCCTTTAATAGTGCACATATTTCCTCACCTAACGGGCAGAAGTTTAGCAATTGGAGGGGTTTAGTGAGGTAGTGTGTTTGTATGATAGTGTGGGAACCATGAGGTAAGGTGCCTTGGAACAGTTGCTTGGGGGAGGGCGGGGGTAGCAGGAGAGGGGGCGGGGGGGTATGGGGAGAGGGGCAGGGGGGGTATGGGGAGGGGGGTATACAGGTGTCGGGGAGAGGGAGGGAAGAGGAGATACAGCTGCCAGGTAGGGAGGAGAGAACTGCCGAGAGAGAGGGAGGAGAGAGGGGGTACAACTGCCGAGAGAGAAAGAGAGGGAGGAGAGAGGGGATATAGCTGCCAAGGAGAGGAGAGGTGAGGAGAGGAGAAGGAGGGGGCCTGGGGTTACAGCTGCCGGAGAGAGGGGGGAAAGGGGGTAAAGGGAAGGGATACAGCTGTCAATGAGAGGGGAGGAGAGGGGAAGGGGCCGGGTATAATGAGTATATTGAATATACTGACGATAGATACACGATACAAGTTTTTCTTATGGGTATATCGCCGTGTTATTCATTACGTCACACTCTACCAACCAACGGTACACAACAGACCACAATAGCAACGATACATCACAGAATAAACAAAACAACAGCTAAAAGGTAAACATTGACAGAAATACGTCACCCCTGGGAGTTAAAGAGACCAGCTAATGTTTAGTTATTCTGTTTATGATGATTATAACCCAAATAAACACAATTAGAGACCAAAACAATATTTATCGAGTCTTATAATTATTTTTTGTTTCTTATTTTATGTATGAATGGTATAGTGTGCATAAGACGTCTTGTTTGAGTGAAGGGAAAGCATATGTAATTGTTTTGATGGGATTAGTTTATATATCGGGTCCCTAGCGCCGAAATTTATCCTCAGAGAGACTTACGATAATTATTCCCCGTAAATAAAGATGGATGAGTTTATTTCACCGGTTAAATTATTCTAAAACACAAAAATAATTGATAAAATATTACATCAACATCATATTTTAATTTTTTTTCTCAACGTTCACATTAACACGAATACGTAACGAAAGTATAACTCATTTGGAACATCGTGACAGGAACCAGAGGTGACCTGAACCCAGCACTCCCCTCTTGGGACACCCGCCTCACTCTGTTTCCCCATACATCAATATTTGCTTCTTATGTGATATTTTATTTAGTTTATTTAGATTATTATGAATATTTAAGGAAATTATATGTGAGAAAAAACTACATACAAACATACATCAATTGATATAACCAAACAAAGTCCTTAAACTAAAAAGGCATTGACTGTGATTATAAATTGAACCCAAATCCTGTATTTTTCTTACTTACACTATACAGCACACCTACACATCACAGCTCATCCCTAACGCTACCTAAGCTGTGCCTGAAAATACCGGACATAAATATAACCTCTGTGTCACTGAATATTAAACTAACTGCTATGTAAAAATGTGTAATACTGTATAAAAAAAAAATATATACATACATACATATATATATAAATATATATTCATTATATTTATCCAGTTTCCAAGTTTTGCTACAGTTTTTCCCGCCAGCTGGGTGTGTGTGGGTTGTCCTCCAGCTGAAAACAAGACAAGAAACTCTCATAGTCACGTCATCACCACCGTTTGTTGTGTAGTTTCCTGCCTTATTACAACATATGGTCGTGTTATATTATCAACATTTTACTCTAGCCACTGTGCGTGTTGTGTCTCATGTTATATAAAATAAAGTTCATTCGTGTATTTTGATTCACTCGTATCTCAGCTCACACTCACTCATTACTTATCTAATAAAACTTTTAAATGAAACACTGTGTTATATTTTCCACTCAGGTATATCACTTTATTACTCCTTTGTCTACCTATCTATCTACCCGAGGTCGTTGTATCTTCACTTCACAAACTACTATGACAACGGAGGGACGGTAAACGTGACCAGACAGACGGTACACTTATTATTCCCCTGATCTCTTCATCCTTCAGTACACCTACAGACAGACACCTGGCGATACGTACACACTTTATGCACAGGTGAATTCACTCTCGCCCGAGGCTGTTGGCAAGTGGATGGTGGAGAGAAATAATAATAATAATAATAATAATAATAATAATAATAATAATAATGATAGTTGTATAAGACCTGACTAAATGCAGGTTGATACTCCAGGTCATAGACAGATAACACACACACACACACGACCTCTTATATAATACAGACTGTTGAGAAAGCAGTGGATATTCCTCGGGATATATATATATTTATATATATATATATATATATATATATATATATATATATATATATATATATATATATATATATATATATATATATATATATATATACACCTGTATCTTTAATACGGGTGGAATAACAAGCCGGAGGGGAGGGGGAAGTGGGAGGTGAAGGTGACTGTTTGAGGCATCTCTCTCTTTCTACACACCCCCACCCATCCCCCCCCCCCACACCCCATTCCTCACTCCTCCCAACCATCACCACCTCTACCACTACATAGATAGATTAAAAAAAGTAATAATCAAGAATAAGATAAAATAAAATACAATATATCACCAATTGACCTCAGTTTTACCATAGTCTTGCTCACACTCGGCCAGTGAAGTAAAGTAAAGTAGAAAAGAGTAAAGTGTCACTCACCCACCACCTACTTGCTCGTGAACTCTACTGAAAGATGACAGGTTCTTCACGGAGAGTTCATGCCGACGGTGCTGGGAGGGAGGGGGACCAGACAACGCACCCTTTGAGTATGATGACTTAATCCCTTGAGTATGATGACTTAATCCCTTGAGTATGATGACTTAATCCCTTGAGTATGATGACTTAATCCCTTGAGTATGATGACTTAATCCCTTGAGTATGATGACTTAATCCCTTGAGTATGATGACTTAATCCCTTGAGTATGATGACTTAATCCCTTGAGTATGATGACTTATTCCCTTGAGAATGATGACTTAATCCCTTGAGTATGATGACTTAATCCCTTGAGAATGATGACTTAATCCCTTGGGTATGATGACTTA